ATATATATATCTACACGCAACAGAGCTAAGATCCAACAGCTTAGATTTAATAGATTTAAGATGTCCAATATGCGCAGTAAGTTCTGGGGATTTAGCTAAAGATGATGAAATAATTAATCATGTTGATGGATTTCGTGATCTTTTGACAAAAGCTGAATTTTGTTCTCTACGTTCTTTTTTTTAATTGATTGACGAAATTAATTATACCATTTCTTCCAAAATTTAAATATCATTATAAATCAAAATGCATTGAACGACACGGGGATCTCTAAGAAGCGCGATTATTAGCCTCTAGCTGTTCGTTTTCCGCCATGTCGGATTCTTGGTAGCTGTCGAGGCGTTCGACTACATGAATCAGACGTTTCTTCAGCTTCGCGAATTCTTTGGTGGATGTCATCTTGCTCAACGTTGCGGGTTTCGCGTCCAGGTGGCTGGTAGATTTTCTTGATGTAGACCGCAGCAAGACGCACAAGCCGGCGTCGGCGATCTCTTCCCAGTCCTGAGGAACCAATTGATCGAATGCTTATCGGGAAACGAACAGAGGGGAACGACACGCCGATCACATTGCAAACGCGTGGCAACGATAACGCGATCTGGCCATATTGGTCAATCTAACTCTTCTAAATGGATAAAGTTATTTATTTTTCACAAGAATATCTCTGCCTTCATATTTTTAATTGTGTGCAAATATAATTTTATTGCAAATTATGCGTCGCAATTGCTGGAAATTAATATATTTGGAAAAATGTAGTATATAAATTATATTAATTATATTAATTAATATATTATATTAATTAAATAATTATTTAAATGTTTATTTAATTAATATATTATATTAATTAAATAAACAGATTTTTAAACATAATTAAAATTATATTTTAAACATTACACATCAGACACAGAAATGTTTATCCTCTTGAAATGGAAAGATTGATCATTGCGCGTCGCAATAGTACTTACGAGTTCGTCGCGCAGCTGCGGCTCGAACCCGATCGCGGCTTCGAGCATCGCGTACTTATCATCGTTTACATTGAGCCGCAACAGCAGGAGCAGTAACCTCACGGCACACCGCAGACCGTGGCCGGTGCGTTCCCGTTCCTGTAACAGTCCAATTATCGCGCATCGCGTTACATCATACTGCTGATGATGAACTTGCGCGTCGTCAATCTGGCCGGCTAATTTTTGACTGTGCAAAGCGAGATTTCGATTAAAGCCGGTGTGTAATTTCGATCAAGTCAAATTTTGGTATTCTCTTATACTTATTTTTTATTAATTGGTTGTCTTCTATAACATTTAAGATTAAATTTATCGAAGGTATATCGATTTGAATCCTCGGCTTTCAAGATATAATTTCCGATAGAAGATCGATTCTAGAACAAAACTGAGAACTTGTGCGCCAATTCATTTCCATTCACTTCAACCTGCTCTGGAAGTGGGAAGTATATTCTCACACTCCCAACTTTCTCCGGTATACTAGTTATTAATTTTGATTTCAATCATTTTCCCATCTCATGCCTATTAATTATTCGCCGATTAATTAATTTCTTGAACACTTCTCATAAGAATTCAAATGTAGAGTCAGTTCATGATTTCAAAGGTTACGAGATAAATCTCTGTTATTTTTCAGTTATCGATTTCTTTGCACTTTTAGTTCAGCCATTCAATAATGGCGAAACGATCCTTCTTTTGCGTCGTTGTCTCTTTCTCTTCATTATCTATCTAAACATGGCTCGCATATCGCGCGAATCGGCACTTGTATCGAATTCCCTTCCTCGGAATGCCATAAATCTCGCAAATAATAAGCCACTCGAGCACGACGAGAGGGATCGAATAACGATCATGCAATGGGCCTGGCTGGTTGATATAGTTTCGCGAAACCGCTGGCGCGATTGCCATCTCCGCTTCCAGATCGGTGCGCGATAAAGCGTGGCGTACCGTATCGACTGCGATCATGCGAGTAGCTCGCGTGTTTTGTACAGCCGAGATTATGGTCGCCGCTCGCCGTCGCTGCCAGCGTCTGGTGCATAAGCGAAGGCATAGCGAACAATTACCGTGCGCGACTCGCGAGCATTACCGAGACAGAGAAATTCTGAGATTATAGTAGTTATAATATTACGCAGAATGTTCAACTAAAAACTAGAAATCAAAAAGAGTCAAAAATTGAAAAAAAAAAAGTTATTTAACGATTTTATGACAAGACGAAATCAAGATTGCATTGATGCGGTTCCAATAAGTTAAAAGTTCTTAATAAATCGATATTGGAGTTTGCTAAGGAAGAACACTGGTCATAAATGATAAGATGTTGATGAATTACCGCTCGCGCGACCGCGAGATCATTCAAGAGCGTGGAGAGCGCGTGAGAGGTTGACTCCAAAAGGAACGGCAGTCCGGTCGTGGTCAGAGATCGGGTGCTCCGCTCCCTTACGGTGCGCAGCATCTTCCTCTCGATGTTCCTTAACTGTGTCGACACCAATCCGATCTCGTTCTGTACTTGCGAACAAAAAAGCATGCTGAGAAAGAGGGGATAATTAATCGACAGCGACGGCAATGTTAATAAATCGGACACCACCGATGCTTGCCATCATCGTTGTCGTCGCGACTACGCGAGAAGACTGATTTGAAATCTTACGGAAGTGGCGGAAGCCCTTTCGAAAAAGAGATATGTAGAAGCAAAAAAGATGAATTTTGAGAAGTGTCAGTGTATTTGTGCAAAATCTTGCAGACAAATTTTTAATTCGCCAAAGCTTCGATCTTTTAAGCATTTAAGAGATCAATAAAACAAAGTGGCGGAAGCCCTTTCGAAAAAGAGATATGTAGAAGCAAAAAGATGAATTTTGAGAAGTGTCAGTGTATTTGTGCAAAATCTTGCAGACAAATTTTTAATTCGCCAAAGCTTCGATCTTTTTAAGCATTAAAAGATCAATAAAACAAAGAGAAAAAAATATTGAGCGTTAGAATATTTATAAAATTTCATAAATTAAAAGTAAAGTAATATTAAAAATTTTATTTAAAAAGTACATTTAGTAGAATGATATATTTTTATATGATTTTATAGGATTTAGTTTCTCAAACTTAATCGATCATGATATATCAAGATTAGATGCGATGTTTCAGCAAACAATTTACCGCGATTTTGTCGGTTTTCAGACGGCTACGAAAATGCGCCTCCATCTGAGATTGCACTAACTGTATGTGGTTTTGCGCAATGGTGGTCGTAAAGTTTCCAGTGGCCTTGTCTTTGAGCCTATTTACCAGCTGCTGGGCCACCAAGGCCATTGCGAGCCCGTCGTTCGATTGCACTCGATATCGATTGCTAGTAGTACCGGAAATGATTGTCACCACGCTGCTAGTTTGCACGTGCTGCAAGCCGAGCGCGTTCCAGTTTTGCCTTTGTACGTCTCCTGTGAGCTCTATTAAAGAATAATTGTTGTTAATTAGGAGTTTTTTTGCGCAAGCTATGCTTTTGAAGAATAATCAAATAAATTTCAGTTAAATTCAAACAAATTTCGAATTTTTCGCAATCTTTATTTTGCGTTTAATATGATTAAGAGTTAACAGTTAACACTGAATATTGGCAAGAATACAAATATTGATGTTTTTTGAAATTAAAAAAAAAAATTGACTATAAATTTATTAATATAGCAATTAAAATTATAATTGGAAATTTTGGGATATTTTGTGCATTTCATGTTCGTTATATTGGAACATGAGAAAGAATATTGAGATCTTTATGATTGATATTTTCGATCCTGAACGATCGTGGGAGGCAAGAAATTTACTTAATAAGGCTTTACCGACTTTAAATTACGAATTTACCAGGTGTGCCCAGACTTAAAGTCGAAAGGCCGCTAAAAGAAAGAATGCTGTGATTGAAGAGGTCCGGGTGAGGTTGCCGGGGCTCGCGATGCCTGATTATTAGGTATTAGGTGGGCTGAGAGACTGCGCGTTTAAGCCTCGAACAAGAGAGACTGGATTCCTTAACATCGCCGTTCGCAAACGAGACATCCTAATTCTCTATCTACAATTTCCTGGCCCGTAATTTCTGACGGGGAACAGCGCGGGCTCGAATGCGAAGTAGTGGGAGTAAAAAAAAATCCGTACGTTTTTAGGGAATCTTTTACGACGATGGGATCACAGGGCGGTATCACAAAGCCGTTAATCGCATCGATCGTCTGTAAACAATCGATTTTTCTACGGCTCGATTGTTGATCGATGAAACTTACAGGATTTTATCCTTAAATTACATGTCAAACTTCAAATTGCGCGTTTTTATTACGTTGGAAATGTAATTAGGATATTATGTAGCTCGTAAATTGATATCTCATTAAAGACTTTGGGAGAAAAAAAGTTTTATGATATAGAATTTCGCAATTGATGTTATACTGTAACAAATACACGTAGAAAATTGTAATGAGGACTGTTTAAATTCGCACGCAATGCTAAAACAGCGTTAACATTTAAGTATTGAAATTTCAATTAAACGAACTTAACTCAAACTCTCGGTGAGCTCGTTATAACGAGGTTTTACCATAACAAGCTGCAGAAAAAATTGTTGAGGCAAGGTTTGAGGTTGAAATAGCTTTATCGCGGTTGCAGCCCTGGTCGCGAGGGGGGGGGGCATTATAAACGACGATGCCGATGGATTTACCGGGAAACAGTTGGCTGAAAGCGACAAGGGGCTCGCTGCACTTGATGGTCGCCGTGAAGGTGGACGTGTTCTCGGGTGGGCAGGCCCTCAGCATCATCTTCAGGGGCAGTTGGGCCGTTTTCTGAAGTACGCGCAGGCTCCCACGATCCCCGGTCTCGTAGCTCGCCGTGATTCTCACGTCCGACGACATCGCCGGTAGATCCGCTGTCGCGTAGATCGTCGTGCGTAGAACGTACCGGTCACCTTTGTGCGTTCAATACGTTCGATTAATTAGCAAAGTGAGAGGCTCACGAATTGCGATTTTACCATAGCAATTACAAAAAAAATATGGAGACACGGAAAATATAAAATATATTATTATATAATTTTTTATTATTTCAGTTTTGTACCGTTTAACTTTGACCCGTTTTAACAACTATTTTCTCGTTTGGATTTTGCATCGTAAATATATAACTTTATGTGATTTGCTTACAAAGATTGGAAATAACGTGGCAATCTTTCTCGGCGACGAATGGCTTTGAGACGTCCACGCACACTTGAACGTCGCGAAGCGTCGTGTATGTGGACAATTCTACAGTGATTCCGCACATTAAATTACGACCCTCCGAGTCGTCTCTAGAGTCGTCCTGGTTTCCGCGCGGGCAGGGTTCCAAATCCGGAGATACGGTCACAGACATTATGAGCTCGGCGTCCATCGTGACGTTATTTAGCTGATTGCCTTGCAATTTTAACGATGAAAGATAATTAACATTTAATAAAAAATTGATTAGATTTTATTTTAGATGTAGCAATTTTGGGGGGACTTTGGAGAAATTTAATTATATATTATTCTTCTTCTGTGTCATTAATGACTATTATGCACATATTGATTTACGTTTATTCATACCGGAAGCCTTATTTCTCTTGGCCAGCTTGCGGAGCTCCATGAGCTCATCTTCGGCGGCCACGTAATCGTAACCTCGGCGATGAAGAGGAGGCGCGATAAATAACGACGGCTCCGAGCCCAAGTAGCAAGCCTCCAGTTGGCCCTCGTCGGAGAGAACGACGATCACTCCGTCTAAGTGCTAAAAAAAGAAATATCAAACTCTAGATTACAGTCGCATCTGCGTAAAAGGAAAAATCAACGCCAAATTGGTCAAAGAAAGCGTAGATAAAAAAACCCGCGGGAAACCTGGAATAGCTTGTACATCACAGTTATTATCCTGCAGATGTGCAAAAGAAATATAACCGCTGAATTAAAGACCTGCTCGTAAAAATGGTCTGACCTTCAAAATTAAAACGAGTCGAGTGCGACCGCATATCGACCATGACGACTAACTGCAAATTCCATTTCTCTCTATTTTCAAAAAATATTGGTTAAATCGATGCTACGTGTAGGATTTTAAATTCGAATGCTTATAACATGTTTTCTTTTTCGTAGCAACAAACAAAAAAAATTGCTTGCAAATCTCTCGCTTTTGTCGCTAGCGCAAGATAAGATAAAGATGATTGTGTCTCGCTATTTTCATACTAGTGTCTGATTTTTCGGCATTTTTTGAAGCACGTTTTTTCAAGCGCATACATAGAACAACTCTAGCCGTGGAGATAGCTTGTTGATCAACGGAGTTCTCGGTATTAAGCTAATTAGCCAGCAATTCGCGCTCTGTGTCCTCCGGAAAGACAACAATGGCAACCTTGCCGGCCGCGCGCTAGCTGTGGCAGGACGATAAGATAAAACCAGGGTGATAATTGCCGGCTCCTCATCCTTCCCTGCACTCTTGTGATTTTTCCTCTCTCGATTGGTCTTTCATTGCCGATGCCGATACTGCGAGCCTTGAGCGCTTCTTTCGATCGTCATCGCCACTCGAGTTCCTACGCTTTTATCTTTACTTTTATCTTCCTTTTTCTGTCTCGTGATTTTAAATATCATTGAAAGGATAAATGTGGACGAGTCTACAAAGTGACGAAACGTTCCGTTTTCCAACATTTCAATTATCATATCATATTGACATATTGTAATCTTTACATCCAGTGAATAAAAGTCAACGATCGTAATTAATATTTTTCACAAAATTTTCCACGAGAAATTATTTACATTTTTCAATTTTAACATTTGCGAAGCCTTTTACGGAGAAATAAAACAAGTATTATAAAATGTTTGTGCAGATAGGCTGAAAAGTGCTTTCATCTCTCGTTATCTTTTTTGAAAATACCATGGAAGGTGCGCATAGAGGCTTTCAGCTTCTGCTGACAAGGACACGATAGATCCGAGCCTGAAACCACGTTGTCGGCGAAACAACGCCTGGCGGTGTCGATAGTGCGCGGCGACACGGAAGAGGAATACCGATATGACGGGGGTCTCGCTCGTTTCTTTGTCAAATGTCATCGGCTCTGATTGTGTACTATCGTAGCGAACGTAGATATACGCTCTGTCGAGGTCTCCTTTTCTCACTGTTTCTTTCACTTCTTTCGTTTTTCTCCTAAAAAATGTTTCTCTATATTTCTTTTTTGTTACTCTCTAGGATTCGTTGTTCGGATAAGATAGTCCTTTCGTCGGTTGATAATTTTTTTCTTCTCATCTTTTCTTGTCAGCGAAGATTAATAGCCGACTCGTTAGACACGACATTTTGGCCATCGTTAGATCGTTGCCTCACAATTCTCTAGATTGTCCTCAAAGACTGTCCGCGAAAGGATTGATAATGCAAATTAATGCATTTCTATTTTATTTCTGTAATTTGACATGTAAAAAATGTGCACAAATTATGATACAAAAAGTTATATAGTGTAATGTGCTTTTTAAGCCTTTTTAACGAGGCGTGATAGCGCTTCCTACGAAATGACATCGCGAAACGCGGCATCGAGTGAGAATACGAGTTACAGAATTATGCAATCGGTTACCTGAAAATGCGCTCGAGTTACGGCCACCGGAGTAAGAGGCAGCTGAGCCGACCACTTAAGAGTCGTACCCTCGTAAATCATCAGGGTGCTCGTGTCAGCGATTACGAGCACCATCAACTTGCCATCCGGTTCTATAAGCATCGCGTTCAATTAGCACACTTATTTTCTACCCGTTAAAAGTAATTAGGCGTGTCGCATCGTGCGCCGGCTACGATCGTCTACGCAACACGGTTCTCTCCGACATGTCCGACTCGCTCTTCTTTTTCCTCTCCTTGCGAAAAAGAGAGAAAAAGAGGAAAGCAGAGGAAATCTCGAGAAGAAGTAGCGAAGCATTCGTGACAGAACGATTGCACTCGTCCTCTTTTTCTTCTCCCTTCCTCTCTCTCTCTCTCTTTCTCGAAGAGTTTCTAATTCCACTGTCGATTATACCTATCACATAAGCTTGGAAGCAGAGGGCCTTGTACTCGAGTCTTTTCGTATACTTCAGGGAAACGCAATTGTCGTTCAGACAATACAGATTTCTTTCGCCAAGCACGAGGATTCCGACCTCGAAGCTACTCAGGGTGACGGCGTCGATGTCGAGAACGGCTTCGCCGATGTTGTAACTCCAATCCGGCTCTAGGTTCTTTGGCCCTTCTGAGCGATCCTTGTTGCCGAATTCCGCCATACTCTTGTACCTGTGAAACAGCACGTTTCTGATGTATGATCACACTTTGTTATTTATATTTAATTAACATTAATATAAATTACGGAGCGGGCTACTAATCTTCGCCGACAAGAAAAGATGAGAAGAAAAAAATTATCAACCTCAACTGAAAGGATTATCTTATCCGAATAACGAATGCTAGAGAGTAACAAAAAGGAAATATAGACAAACATCTTCCAGTTATCATATGGAATTTCTCTTATATTGATTAATATAAATTCTTATAATGCAAAGTATATAAATATTGCACTTTGAGAAAATGAAAAAAAAAAAAACAACAGAAACGGAAATTTGCAAAGAAACCGTTTTTTAACGATTTTATTATCGATTTGAATTCTGTCTCTGATATATCATGTGCATAAGCGCATGGAACTAAAATCGAAGAATCTTTAAATAGTTAGAAATTTATTTGAAAGTGATCTATTCTTTCTTTTACTTATCGAGTCTCGAATTGATCTTCGAATTTCTCGATAATTCAGAGTCCTTCTCTCATTACTGTTGCGATCACAAAGGCAGCGTGAATTGTATATCTCTTCATTCATCCTCTCGGCTCATAATCCCGAAAGACGAGGCTGCAATCTGATATATTGTGGTCGCGTTATCTTAACACCGGCAGGTGTTCATTGACAAGCTACTCGGAACGGTACGGTGAAACAACCTGCCTGTAGCATTCGAGGATCCACGAAGAGCTTGGCGTCACGAAGACGTCGTTCCGCGAAACGTAGACGATCGGCTCTGGCAGCAACCGATTCCTGAGAACTATGCTGAAGGTGGGAGTCTCCTGCTCGTAGAAAAGAAGCGTGCCGTCCAGACACTGGACGCAAAGAAAGTCCCGGGCCCGCACGCCGCCGAACGGTCCTGTTGTCAGAGACGCCGGAAATCGCTGCAGCGGATGCTCGTAAGCGACTTCGAGATCGTAACGATCCCCTGCAAGAGTGCAATAATACGGCAATTAAATTATTAATTTACGGGCTGTTTAAATCAAAATTTAAAACTTTAAATTATTTGATTAAAATTGAATTAAAAAGAAAAACGGTTAGGACATTTTTCTAAATATAGCGACTATTCTATTTTTATGTATGATTTCATTTATTGAATGTGTGAATAAATCATGGGGCTTTTCGGTGTTTGAAGTTTAGATTGCTGCCTCGTAGACCTGAGCGATAAAAGTACCGTTCTATTTATCGAAACGGAATTTCACGCCGACCATTCGAGTACGAAATGATACGATAGCGCTTCTTGTCGCTACTTCCGTCAAAAGTTGTTGACCAAATGTTTGCAATTAATAGATTATGTGGAAAATACTTTATAATGATTAAAAGAAATTGATTATATGATTTTGGTAGAATTACTGCTTTTTATCTGTGAATTGTTTTACTAATTTGGAGATATGAGTTACAAATTTTCTTAACAAAAATGTCAACATTTAAGAATTCATTTATTAATATATTATGTAACTTATAAATATATTTGAAAGAATGTGCATCCCTTGGGTTTCTTTGATCGCAGAAACAACACTCGTCAAGGCGGGTAAAATGCTTCGCCGTTCGGAGAAGCGGTTTTTACTTCGACATTAAATCAGGCCGATTATGTACGCTTGTAGACATATACGTTGTAGTTAATCGAAGAAATAAATATGCGAGACTGATGTGGCGAGCTCAGGCGGCGCTAGACAAGCGGCTCGAACCGGCGAACAATCGCGATTCCTGTCCGTATATAGGTCAGACCGCAATTCATCGTGGCCGCGTTTGAGCGTCCGGATGAGAGTGTTTTGCGGACTACATATAACGCAGTGTTATAACCGAGCGAGCGAGAAAAAAAAAGGTGAGAGCAGAGTACAGTCGAGCACAGTCTCTTTATTCGGATAATATAAAGAAAAAATGAGGAGAAAATTGAAGAGATACGAAAATAAAACAAGGCATCCTTAAATATAAGGGTGATTTTATTCTTATTGAATTAAACTTAGAGAACTGGATTTTTCTTTATTTTAGATCAAAATCACATGAGAAGGAAAGAATGAAGAAAAAACTAAAAATATAAAAGTGACTAAGAATAATTTTTAATTTTAATTATTATTTATTTTGTTTTATTTATCTATACTATATTGAAAATATTTGTGGAAAAAAATCTACAATTTTTGCGTTGAAAATGAAAAAGATATTGTAAAAATTGATGGCGCCTACTTGGCGCCAGGAAACAGATGCAATGTTGCTTTAATGATCTCATGAAAGAAGTCAATCAGCCGATTGCAATGTACGCATATGAAATTTACTCGTATGCAATTTGCGATCTCCCCGCGAGCGTGCAATCGGAACGGAAATCGACGCGGACGATTTTTTACCAAGCGAAATAATCGTTCTCGCTTTCCGTTCCACGCCCGCTCCGAGAGGAATCGCGCGCTTCGCGCGCTCGAAAGAGATATACGCGCTCGACGACGTAACGGCGCTTGCGAATTATTACGAAACGCTCGGCGGTTGTTGTTACTGCGTCTAATATCGATTGGATTTAACGAGATACTAGCTTGAGGCGCCTCTCGATCCCGGATCGTAGCGCGAAAGCAGCCTTTAACATTGGAACGGCCGAACCGGTCATTTTGATCGGTGCACATTTTTTCATCAATTAGAAAAATTGTATATTTATAAATAGACTTTATTTTAATTGAATTAATATTGACGATAAAAATTGTAGAAGAAGGGATAAAGAATTTTTTATGGATCAAAAATTAATTTGCATTTTTTTAAATAAAATGGAAAATTCTTTTCTAATTAGTTACAAATGTCTGTCTTTCTAATATTAAGATAATAAAGCTTTCTAACATTAAGATGTTCATAAAGCGCATTCACAGATATATAAAGTATAATTAGATATTTTTATGAGCTGTAATATATGATATATTTTTTATAGCATATACGGTACTGTGTAATGATGCTGTACACATCGTAGACAAGGTTTGTGTAAGCTTCTGATTATATCTGATCGCTATATCCCGATCTGTATGTTCTGCGGCAGTTATGTAACTTCCCGCATTACGCGTAGAACTGCGTAGATCATTAGTATTAATCGATGATCGCTTCTCACATGGCGTCTTAGGGCTTCAAAATTGTCTGACTTCTTAACTTCCTCTCTTGGACGTTTCAATTTCAAATTGATATGCAGGAGGAAAACAACTAGTTGAAGTGATTGCAGGAAATTGAAAAAGTTTTTCAGCATTACGTAAATTGTTGTGGAAGAAAACATCGAGAAAGAGAGACGGGTCGCGATATAATACAGTTTTCGATTACCCACGCAATGGACGAGACTGCGCGACGCGTTTCTGTACTTTGATACGCGATATCGCACGACCGGACGATCGGCATAAACACATATAGGTCTGTATTTATACCTCACATTTAGTGTTAAATACGAGTGTTTCATTCGTTTCGTACAAATCGTATGTTGCAGCTAATCTGATGGTCACATTTAATATTTAAAGTGGGATGTAAATTTAAACCAGAGAATTCGATCGATGTAAAATTATTTTAATTCTAGTTCAAAATCCGACAATTTATAGTTACAGGATGACTGGATGTTTAAACGAGATTATTTGTAATAATTAACATGGTATTATTTCCAAATACATCTGGTGATATAAAGAAAATAAAAAAATAACCTCTGGTTAATTCTAGTTTATCGGACAAGATAATTTTTCAGGATGCTGTCAACATGCAACTTACGTACAGTTTTTATCACGTAATATTGTTTTGCACGACATGGACGCGACGATCGATATCTCTAAATCTTACCATTATCACTCGGCAAGTTTCAAAGGCAATAACAGCCGTTTCAATTTTTTATACGATTTGTCACGACGATGCATGTTACACATTCTTGCAAAAGAACGATACGATATCGTGGTGAAGTGATATCGGTTTTACGACTTGTATACGAGCTACTGTCGATGTCGTACGAAAATCGTTCTGTCGTAATAGACCTCGACGTATCGTGAGATATCGCCGATGCCGATGTACGTGTCTCTATCTCATGCCGTTGAGAATCTTTGCGCGCGGGAATAATTTAGCGCGCTCGTGATGCGCAGCGCGCGGCTCGTTAGCAGTGTAGCGCTCGCGGTCATTTTATCTGCGCGGCTCTCGGACCGGCTCTCGTAACATATTATAAGTCTATGAGACTGCCGCCTCAAGCCCCGAGCTCTTCAAGACCCAACGAATAATAATCACATTATATTAAACAACAGAGAAATAATTCTTTTCTTCAAAATAAATTAAAGATACAATAAGAATGGAATTTATAATAATAGTAATAATAGTATCGATGAATAAATTTATTTGTGGAATATTAAAAAACAAGAAAGAAACGCGAAATATGTAGACATGTTTGTTAAGATTGCAGTGCCTAATTAACGAATTATTCTTGAGTCATTCAGTTCTTGATAATTTCAGTTTGTATACGTTCTCATGATTATTTGATATTCTTAGCCATGCGTCTTCCAAAAACTTTTGCATCGCGTGATTAATGTTATTGTCACGATACTAAAATTAATATTCCGACACACACGATGCGTATTATGATTCTGAATTCCGATTAAAAGAATTGGAGATTGTGACGGCGAGTATAGATTTCTACAATAATATTTCCTGTTTTTGTTAAATGTAATTTGCATATACGTGTTTTCAAGTAAGGCCGATGGAAGAACGGTTTGTTTACTACACACGTCACGTCTTAAAACATGTCAAATAAACAGAAAAAAGATTTATAAAATTAATAAAAAAATAGATAAAAGTTGAAAGAGAGTAAAAAAGACTAAGTAAATTTTAATTTGTTGCGTTATAATCTTATGTAGTCATGTTACGATACAAACCATGTTCGACGGAGCCTTGAATCAAAACGATGCTGTAGATCACGAGTTTCGTTGATGTCAATATCGCGAGTCGAGTATCTTGCGAGCCTCTGAAATTGATTGGTATCGATATATAATCGGTAAAGATGTAGATAATATTTAAACAAAATACAATATTTGGTTAAAGGTGAAGGCACTTGCGCACAAATTTTCCGAATTAAAAAACATGCAATTTTTCGTGACGTCATTAATTTTTTCACTTTGTAAATTTGTACTTACGAGACAAATTTTCCCGCCTTTGTATCGACAATACAATCGCCGATTTGCGTCTCGATGAGCAAATCCGCAGACTTGTGGCCGCTCGGCGATTTGGTCTCGTCTATCCATTGCGACGACGGACTGTATATTCGAAGGAATCCGCTATGGCTACCAACGACGACGACATCCTTCCGGTCGGCGCCAAACAACGGCACGATCAGCAGGCTGCGCCTGTCGAAGGACTCGTTTACTCCACACTGCGTTCTCCACCATTCCTTTGTCTTGAACAGCGACATTTTTAGACGCGATTCAGGTATTCAGCAGCATTTCGTCGCAATCGACAGGAAATTACAGCTATTGTTGGGGGGTTTATATGCCGGGTTGCTATGACGCCGCGTTGCCACAACATAAGGGTTGATTAGACGGTAATACGTACTTCTCCAAGATAATTAAAGATGCATAACGAAATCGTGGTATAACTCTGTATTATCGTATTAGGTATCGAAGATGTGTGTTTTTCGAAGAAACATTTCCATATTACACATTGCATCAGCTGCGAATTATCACACAGACATATAATTCACTTTTGTTGGCCTTCGAGATGTAAAGCTTGGCTTTATAAAATCGAAGAGAATTATTAATTGTTTAATTTTTATTTATTTTTTTAAGGAGAGTATTTAAAAATGTAGAGAATTTTAGAATTAATTTATCTCAGAGCTCTTGATCTACCACTGCATTACAGATATTGCTAAATAGATGTTATGAAATTCGTTTGTCAGCCGTTACTATTTGCATAACTATTGTATAATTTAATTTTGAAAGAACAGAAACTTGATAAATACGAAATATAAATTTGATCTTTATATTTTTCATCATATAAACATATATATTATGCTACAAAACCATACATATACTTTAATAAGTTATTCTGCTTAAAAATGGTATAATATGCAAATATTATTTTTTTGTACGTTACGGAATATCAAAATAGAAAGTTATAAATTTTTATATTTTTGTGCGCAATTGTATTTTACGTATCGCGTAAAACAGTGTGAAGTTTCGTCATCAGATGGTAGCACGGTCAATATTCAATTTACAAATGACAGCAGTCGGAAGGACAGGTTTCCATATAAGTTTCCACTTGCTGGAGAAAATGATTACGAAAGTTATTTGTATATATGATACTCTATTTCGACGAATAATATAATTGAAACAAAGATATTCAAAAATTATCCTGCAGAAATTGCAATGCAGCAAAATAAATTTAAATAATACATATATAAAAAAATATTTTTTAATATGACAGTATTTTACAATTTTTAATTAATATATAATTATATCGAATTTTTTTTTTGATAGCTTTTAATCGCAGATTAATATGTGCATTAATTAGAATCATCTTCTCACTGTGGAAAATTATGTGCAATGTCGCTTAATTTTTACATAGAAAAGAATGTTACAATTACATGTATAGTGATGTTTATTAGAATTTAAATACGTACAAGCATAATTCTTTTTATTAATTATATTGTAAGTGGTGTTATTTATTTTATTGCGTTTATTAATTAATTGCACGGTGGGAGTTCATCAAAAATATATATTTTAAGATAAAATGTGCGATATTTATTGCATAGTGGGAAAGCTTCCTTTTAACAAACAGAATTGTGTACGTATTTTCCATAGTTAATTATATGCTCCATTAACGTACATTAAATAAATATTGACTATCGATTTTTTTTTGTTAAAAAACACAGAAAAAAAAGGTTTACAGAGTGGTTAAAGTAATTTGTTCATTACAGAACAATAGAAATTTGAAAAATCTGATGTTTCTGAATACACATTCTTGCAGCAGTTTATATCTGCGGCAGTCTAGTCAATATTCGACAATGTCAACATCTATTTCCTCTAGCACAGTTTTTTTTTGTTCAGTCGTTTTCTTTCTCACGTCTTTATTTTTTCTGTAAAAGAAAACATGATAATAACAATGTCAAAGTATGAAGAAATTTTTTCTTACATCTTGTACCACAGCAACTCGAACACAAACACGGTAACGCTGAGCAGTATTCCATAGCCCAATGAGACTATCGCGAAGTAACATTCTGTGAAACCGATGGTGATGTAGTTGGACGCGCTTGAGCACGTTGGTTTATCCGGGTACAAACGACGTTCTTCACGAAATTTAAGTCCGTATTCTTGTAATACTATGGCTCTGAAAATACTTTCTCTCCATGAATATTCTATGTGAATTATCTTATAAATGTGATAAATGGAGATATTCTCACCCATTTTTTATTATCTCTAAATAAGGCGATTGTCTTGGTAGCGGGAGAAACGGATACGGCAATTTGAAATAGTCCACTTCGGACAGACTGCACTTTTCGTCTTCCTGAAATGTCTGCTGCGCGAGGTGATATATTTGTCCCTGCGGTCCGTAAAACGCGAAGGTTTCGGTTCTTATGCGATGTATTCCTTCCTCTATACTCATCCAGGTTCGGTTTCCATTTGGCAATATTTTCTGTTCATAGACCGCTTTTCTAATGGGATCTTGGTGAAACTGTGTTCCGACAGAAAGAATATTTTTTAATATCTTGTTTAAAAAAAAAAAGAAAATTCTCACGATTTTGCAATTTACGAACTTCAAAATTATAATGGTTATACTTGACATCATCCACGCCGAGAGTTAACGGACTGTGCAAAATATCTGCAGGGGTTTTGATCGAATCCGTGGTGGATTGCAAAAGAGCCACAATATTTGCTGTGTAAGCCGCGTAGAGACTTAGAGATGCCACGAGTAACATGAGAGTGGAAATTCGAGTCGAGATTTTGTATGGTTCATATGAATATCCTAGAAAAGTATATATATTTTACATATATTACTTTACTGTTAAACAGCTGAAAATATTTCATTCTCGCATTCGCGAAAATATTTTAACTTACGAAAAATGTTAAATTATGAAATGTACTTAATTTGTATTTCATGCAGTAAAGTTTTTAATATCAGATTTTATTTGAAGAAATTTTGACAATGAAAAAGATTCATTGAAGATTGAATTGTTATTAGGATAATTGCTTATGTACCTTGCTGTGAAAAGGCGCCTAAAAGAATGAAAATATTATCACTGACCGTCGGTTCTGCGATTTTTAATGGGTTTGAAGAGGCCGTCGACTTTTTTGCAGTAGCTTCATAATACTCCCATTGCATGGATAAATATAAGAAGCAGGAAACCAAAAAGAGAAATACGGCAATCGCAATCCAGACGCGTTGTTCAAAGGGCAATGTGAAGATATTTTTAACAGTTGATAATAAAGGTCGTCGAAATACGAATAGTGCGCTATGTAACATTGTTATGCATTACATTAGCAATAAAATCAGTAAATTCAAAGTAATATAATAGTAATTAGTCTACAAAAGAGTATAACTTGATGAAAATATATTATTAAATAATGTTGTTAATACTATTGCGATGTTATTAATAAATAATATTAAATATTAATTTTTTTTATAACAGATTTCCGAGTTTAACATTCGTTGTAACATTATAGTAATTAGAGAAATGATTCGCAAAGAACCATTGGATTAAAATGAATTTCAATTTTACCGAGTGCGTGTATATAATTGAACGTATGTCACTATATGCAAGCGATCGTGCAGCATATACATAGTAGTGCCAGCCATATCGACGTCGTGTCGATACAACTTTCCGGCCATCCCACCCCAGGATCCATTTTTCTCAGGATACCCCCAAGTGGTTTCAATTTCGAAACTTAGTCTGTCGTGTAAAATAAAAATTCATAATTATCGGATTTGCAAGATGATTAACAAAATCGGTTACATCATTGGATTTACTTTATTCCATCAACATTGATATATTTTGACATTAGGAAATAGCACTCACGTTGCATTCATCCGCTCTCCTAAATAACGTACCCAGTGATAAGTCGCTTTTGCAATAGAATCACTTTTATCCTCCAAGTCATCAAGACCATCAGTCGTATTGTGATACAGCAGCTGCAATTGTGAATCATTTTAAAGAAAAAAAAATTTTACTTGTTAAAACCGTTTTAATTATTTAAAATGTAATTGTAAGTTATATATCGCGGCATTTTTAGAGTGGCTAATAGTTGGTTTGTATTGTTTTTATTTTTTATTATTATCAAATAATATTAGACGCTACAGACATGTGTTATGTTAGTTTGCAAATATTTTTGCAATGTGTCGTTGATGCCATTCAATTCATGATAGACGAATAGTATGTTCTATGTACCACTATTGAGACTTTGAGAACCGTTCGTTGAAGATTTCTTCTCCGTTCCGAAGCCACTTTAAAATCTCTCAATCGTAAGCCATTCTCAATCGTCCAATTTCCGCGATTTTCCCACACTACTCCTCGTTGTGGACTTGGTCGATATACGGACAAAAGCTCGAGAAAATCGCCATCTAATCTTCGAGCGAGGAGCACCTCGCTGTCAGGATAGACTGCCAAATCCTCAAAGATTTCCAATATCGTATCATTGTATGTAGAAGTTACATTGACGCTATCGATCACCGTTCTTCGATCCTGAAGAAGCAGCCACTTTGCCGGGGCGACAAACATTCTTTTTGAATGCGCCTATTGGTTAATGTCAGAAAGTACTTAATTAGTTTAAAAGACATTATGAGAGAACTTTTTGTGCTTCTTTAAAGTCTGCAACTATCTTTCTTTGATAAACTCAACAAATAACAGGGAAGTGTATGTGTGAGTAACGGTGAAAGTATTGTTAATCTTTAATTAAAATTTTAACGTTCATGATAAATTGTATGATAAATGGCAAATAAGATTGTGCGCGTTTTTAGTTTTTTTATTTTTAATTTGAGACAACAATTTTTTACCTGTTGTAAGGTTTCAGTGGCATAATCGCAGTCTAAATCCAACGCGTATAGATTCTGATGTTCAAAATGATTGTAAATTCTTTGGTCGAAGTCTTCGTTGGAGTTACGAATGCCATGTGCCAAGCCATAGCGTGACATTTCCCTTGAAAATCTAATTGTGTCGTCTGAGAAAAAACACTAATATTCTAATTAAAACTTACATGTTTAATTAAAATTTTGAATATATTTTTTCTCGTTAAAATGGACAAAAAAAATTCATGATTTATTGATATATCTTATTTTGATATGTAACAAAATTTATTGTAACACTTTAGTTTATATTGTAAACTGAAGCTTTAATCTTCTTTTTATTATTGCTTTATAATTTATTGTAATTTTTTATTTTATATTTATTTTTTAAAATTGTTTATGTTTTCGGAAAATTCTGTTTTAGATTCTACACATTTAAATTACGAATTCAAAAATCTTGCCATAGCTAGTGCATAAGTGTAGAGATATCCTCAACGGCGGCAATAAGATGGAGGTCACATCGACGATAAATTTTGGGATCACATTATCAATTCGATGAGAAAATGCAGTCGCTTCATTGTTGAATAACAATGCAAAGATCAATGCAAAGATGATCCAGATGATAAAGTGCATTCTGGCTGTTCTTGTATCCGTCAAACGACTGCAGAAATTTCTTTTCGAAATTGTCAGTAGTATTGATCAATAGTAATTATCTATGCACTGTAATCTTTTTTACATATACAGAGAACTTGTGTAATTTTTGTCGGTAACAAAATTACTCGTGATTTCACGGAGAAATAAGGGTGCAATAAGAGTACAGTCAATGCGTAGAACATTATTGCAGCATATAAAATATTCAGTATTTGTGATGGATGCTACATTGACATAACATAGCATGCCAATTGATTGTTCTAGCGAGCGTACTTTGAAACGTGTACTTTTATAATTTCGCCAGCTTTCATCGCTCTCACGAATTCTTTTTCGATAGCGCAATTCTCGAATATAAGATAATAACCTGGTGCAAGGAGACTCGATGATGCAATAGATTGGGATACTATGTTTTGTGAATAAAGAATCGCAGCTATATTTACACACTTAATTAAATTACAATCGCCATTTCTTCAGGGAGTTAAAGCAATATGTTTTGTTATTTTATTTACAAATCGACTAACTAATTTTTTATATTTTATATAAATTGACATGAGGTTGACACAAGATTCTCTAAGATAATCTATAAAAATATATAGAAGAATGGTTTAATGGTTTAATATAAGTGATTATTTTTCATTTATATTATTGTATAAATAAAGTTGTAAAAAAATGGTTGTAATAGCGGAAAAGTTAATCGTATGTATTTGTAAGATATTGTTATATTAATTCTGTTTGTGACATATGGTATTTATTTTACAATGTAGCAAAATTTGTATAAGTCTTCATCACTTTAAGCAAACAGGCTGCAACACTTGTGCCCGTGATAAATTTGTAAATATCATTTTACCTTTAATCGTTCATACACACGTGTTATAACATGCGATCGTAAAGCTATAAAGATGCAACAAGTTTGACTCGCATAATCGACTTTAAACAACTTCCGCGTCGATGTCATCTGCATCCAATATGCTGTCTGTTTATTGCTTTCAATGTTTGTGATGTTAATTGTGAGATGACGTATATCATTGAAGCAATCAAAACGAAATGTCACTAAAGTGGAAATAGGTCTTCTATCGAATATTTATGATGGATACAAAAGAACGAAGCGATTAAGGCTAAAAACATATGTCGATCTTGGACTTTTTACTTAAAAAGAAAAAGAGATTTTTTCGGAAAAAATGGATGTTTGTTTAATTCTATTAACAACTCGCGTGATAAGCTAGTGATGGGCACGTGAGACAAATCGCTTCTCGTTTCTTTATCAGTGCTTACTCACGAGATCGATATTGTCGTAATCATTGGCAAATACTGTTGCGCATTCTAATATATTTGTAGATGCTTTCGTATGTGTTCATTATTATCTCGTGAACGGAATAAATTAGATTTGCGAAAGGTTTTCTTCATTAACGACGCGTTAGATGACTCGACGCTGTTCATCCGTTTACAGTCAGCGTTTTATATTTTTTATTATCGTTATATGTGATGCCGATTATAGTAGGATAGTCTTATTAGAGTTTTATTACAAGTATACAAGATTAGATATTTAGCATAATAATAATAATGAAATTAATAGTTTATTTATTATAACGCAAAATCATAGATGTTATAAACTTAATTTTAAGAAAACTTTAGAAAGTACAAAAGTTGTTAAGACAATATTAATTAAAGTAATGCACACAATATAATGTAGAATAAAAATATTGAATTCTCAGCAAGTATTATAAATTTTATAATTTTTTTAATGCTATTGAATTTACACATTTTTATATAAAATAAAATAGATTTACTAGAATTAAAGAATAAGACGAAATGAGATATAATGAAAAGATATAAAGAAAATAATTGTAATAATATTACTTTGCATTTTTGTTTAATTGTTAACTACAAAATGTGTTACATAAAGTTTTAAAATTAAATTTGTGCGCGGAATAATCTTGCTTGTGCTGCATGAAATGATACGTAGTTTCGTCAGCAGATGGCAATGTGCGTTTGACTTGTCAGCTGACGGCAGTCTGCGAAGTCGAACTGATAGATCTGTCACCTGTTGTTTACGAGTAATCGTAATCAAAGTATTATATGTTTATAGTCATTTGAACACTAAGTCTACACGTTTGTATTATTTGACATTTTACAAATATTTCGAGATGGAGCCGGAGGATATTTATTATAACAAAGCCGAATATGTCGAAACGGTAATAGATAATTTCAATAACAGTGTATCAGAGAGAGTAAAACGTTTATTGAATAATTTAAATAAATAAATTATTATTGCTGTTATGGTATTGATGGTTAACAAATTTTGTTATTTAGCAATACTCTGACTTTTGTAAAAGAAATATGAATGTACCACATAACCTCACTCTTTTGTCATTTCAGGCCTCAGGAAATAAAGTGAGTAGGCTAACTGTACTGTGCGGTTCTCAAAACATCGTGTTACATGGAAAAGTGATAGTACAATCTGATGCTATTATTAGAGGTGATTTGGCTAATGTCAGGACAGGGCGCTATTGTATCATTAGCAAGAATGCTGTCATCCGGCCGCCCTTTAAGAAGTTCAGCAAAGGGTGAGTCAAGTTCTTGATTATATTAATGCGCATTGCATATTATACTGTATGGTATATTACTTGGTCGCTTCTAAAACTGTCAGTTTTAACTTAAAAATTTTCGAGTATATTAAGATACTAATATATCGAGTATCTTGCGATATAGCAAGCAATCAATACAAATTACGCTGAATTTTAAGCACATATCAATATTCTAAGGTTGATAAACCCTTTATTAGGGTTGCCTTTTTCCCTCTAACGATGGGAAATCATGTATTTGTGGGGGAACGGGCAGTCGTAAACGCAGCGCTGGTCGGTTGTTACGTTTACATAGGCAAGGATGCCATAATCGTACGTACAAATCATCTTTATTTTATATGCCAAGTGAGTAGAAGTGCAGTGCCTTCAATCAATTGTACTTATTTCGCTGTAGGGCAGACGGTCCGTCTTGAAGGATTGTTGTTATATCGAGGACGGCGCAGTTGTGCCACCAGAGACTGTTGTTCCGTCCTTTACTCGATTTGCTGGCAATCCGGCGACTTGCGTTGAAGAGCTGCCTGAGTGCACGTTGGATCTTATGATAGATTTTACGAAGAACTATTATGAGCATTTTTTACCGGCGCGCGTTTAACGCTCGCTTAGTATTATGTACAGTAACTCACAGTCATATGATCTGTTTCTTTTAGCTGCATATTATATTTATATATATTTCCTGTATTCAAAATAAAATATATATGTATAATTAAGATTAAAAATTATAAGAAAATACAAGAAATATAGCTGAAAAGAATAGATCAAAAATTGGTCGCATAGGTTTTTGTAGTTAATGCGCATATTTTTTTTTTTTATTCTGGTTAAATGAAAAATGTTTGAATCAAGTGTTTTGTTTTATAATTTAGGTAATTATATAGTATCGCTACCTCCACTCCGATTTTGATCCACTTGTTTGTTTATGTTTCTTTATCAATATTAACATTATTACCACATTTACTACACGTAATAGTACATACTAAAACACCGTGTTGAATTAAAAAATCTACTAATCTTTCCTTCGAATATGTTAAATGAGCAAACTCCAGTAAACTCAGCATTGCTCTTTGTTGTTAAAGATTTTAATACAATAAAGTGCGCTAATACACAATTGTATTAGCGCATTTTATTTCTTTAAATTTCGTGTACAGTAGTTTAAAGTTACTACAACGCATACGTATGTGGTCGCAGAACATGCGCGCGTGACCGCTGCGCATACCCATGTCACTATATTTTGTCGGTATGACAGGTTTCGTAACCTGAAAAATGGTCAACTTTAACGATTAATATCTCGCTTCGCGCGGCAGAGCGACACTTTTTCCAAATAGAAAAGTTTTATTTAACGCAAAAACGCGTCGAATAAGCGTGGTTGGATCAAAATCGGAGTGGAGGTAGCGATACTGTATAATTACCATAATTTAAAATATCATACTATGCGCGTTTTTCTATACATTTATGTTGCAAATTTAAAATCACTATGCGGCTGATTTCGACTATCAGTCGCTGCAGCTTTTATAGATTTATTTATTACATTTTGTACGCATATATAAAACCAATACAAAATGTTATTACTAAGAACACATAGTATTGAGTATAGATTTCTTTATCTTTGTACGCATTTATTTAACAGGTAATGTACATAGTACTGCAGATAGAAATCATGTTAAAATCACTTTTCTGAAACGGACAAAATACATATATATATATATATATACTTTTTCTTGGCAATTATTTTATATTACATTAGCGCATATTGAAATGATACCAATTTTACAATCTATTTTTATTGCATAAATACAGAAACATTCAGAATAATTTTATATGAAGTTTATTCCTCAATTTCGTGTAAGATGCAGCAGAACATTTAAAAAGTTGTATGATTCCGATTTCCTTTATGAGTATACATTTGTATACATTAGTATACATTTTGACAATTATTCGAGATATTCAATATAGTTATCCGTGTCTGATGTTTCTTCCTTTGCACGCATGCGTTGTCTGCAAAAGAAAACGTGATAATAGCGTCAAGTGAGAATGAAGTCGTCCTTAAGTCTTACCTCTTATGCCACAGTAACTCGAGCACGAACACAAACAGGGCAAAGAGCACTCCGTAGCCTATTATCGACAGCGCGAAATAGCATTCTGTAAAACCGATGGTGATAAAGCTAGTTTGACTGGAACACACCGGTTTCCTCGTGTATAAGTGATATTCCTCGTGATATTTCAATCCGTACTCTCGTAATTTTAGAGCTCTGAAAATACCTTTCATGAATATTGAATATTTCTGACGCAAAATAATTCTTGATTCGCGTGTAATGCATTAAAAAAAAGATGCGTTTAACAATAAAATTTAATCTTGAAATTAAACGTTATTTTAGATTTTAAATTTTCAGGAAATTTTTATTTCCATGCAGAAATATTTTACCCATTTTTTATTATTTCCAAATAAGGCGATTGCATTTGTATCGCGAGGAGCGGAAACAGGACGTTTAGGAAATCGATTTCAGTTAGACCACACTTCTCATCCTCCTGATATGTGTCTTGCATTAATTGGTAAATCGTGCCGATTTCACCGATAAATGCGAATAGTTCATTTTTTATGCGACGTACGCCTTCTTCCATTGATATCCAGTTTGGCTTGCGTCCTTTCGGCTCAATTCGTGTCTCTACGATCGCCTTTCTAATTGGATCTTGAAAACTCTATTATCTCGCAAAAAATAATTTTTTTTTGCAATTAAATTATATTTTTGCTAATAATTTTGGATAAGTCAAAGTATTTATCCATTAATAATAACATTTTATTACACATCTTTGCAATCTTGGTTTACCTTGAAATAATATCGATTATATACGATGTCCTGTGCAGCCAGTTTTAAAGGACTATTTAAAAGATTTGGAACAGTTTTGATGGAATCCGTAGTAGACTGCAGCAGGCCCACGATATTCGCTGTATAAGCTGCATACAAACTCAAAGAGGCCAAGAGTAACATAAGAGTGACAATTCGAGTCGAGATTTTGTACGGTTCATACGAATATCCTACAAAAGTGTAAAAATTTTATAAATTTCACGTTGAAAAGAGTAAAAATGTTATTTATGTCAATTAATTCGTGAAATAATAAAAGATTTTGATTTACACATACATAAAAATAAGATTTAATTTGTATCATTATTTTGTATTATTTTAGAATTATATTTAAGAATGAAGGTAAATAATTGAAAATTACAAACAAAATGATGGAAGTTATTGGTTTACCTTGTTGAGTAAATGCGCCTAAAAGAATGAGAATATTATCGCTGATCGTCGGCTTGTTAGGATTTAATTGATTCCAATAAGTTGCTGATTTTATTGTCTTCTTATTTGCATGATATTCCCATTTTACGGACAAAAAGAGTAAACAAAGTACCAAAATGAGAAACACAGCAATAGCTATCCAAACGTTTCGTTGAAACGGCAGGACGAATATATTGCTGACGGTTGACAGTAAGGGTCGCCGAAATATGAATCGTGAACTGTGTAAATTTTTACATAAAATATCGATATATTATTATAGTTTAACTCATTACTTTTAATCGAGTTTCGAGTTTTAATCAACTTTAAAGTTTAAATAATTTTCTATGTTTTATTAGTTCAGAAGTCCTGATTTTTCTTTAGAAAGGAATAAAAGTCATTTGAACATTTGTGTTTAAGTAAATGATCTTTGCTTTTACCAAGTCTGTGTGTACAGTTGGACGTATTGCACGACACCGAGGCGTTCTGGCACAAGAAACGTTGGAGTGCCACCGATATCAATTTCGCGTCGCTCCAACATCCCGATCATCCCATTCCAGGAGCCATTCTCCATGCGATATCCCCAGGTGTTAGTAACGTCGAAAGTTATCCTGTGGAATTTTAACCATCAAAACACCGCGTGCATTTTTTAGGATATTTGCAATCGTATTGACAAGCAAAAATTGAAGAATTTTATCATAATATTTAAGAATTTGGCAAGATAAGATTTTCAGTCGATTAGATACGAGTGTAAATATAATCATGTGACTTTCGTCGGTCACATGCATGATCATTGATAAGTGTACATTTGTTTAATTATGCGAATGGCTTTATTGATATATGCAATTGTACACCACTGCTCGATCGAACATGATTTATAATCGTTTTTGGCGTCTGTATACCGTAATAGGTCGATTATTTCACTTTAGCCTTGTTAATTAATTTTCAGATCGAATGACAGCTTTATTACGTTCTTCTGAGGCTTGCACGAAGTTTGCAAGATGATTGACGACGAATTATTTACACCGAATTCACTTCGTAAACTTTACCGATGTCGTTTTGGTATTTAATATCGAAGGTCGAACTTACGTTGCGTTCATCCGATTTGCTAAATGAAGTATCCACGGGTAATTAGCTTTTGTGACTGGATCTACGGTTTTATCTTTGAAGTCGGTCAGATGGTTGATCGTGTCGGGATCTGTCATCTGTAATTGCAATAAATTTTTACGTTCAAAAAATCACAAATATTTAAAATCACATCTGCGTTGCGGCGTTTTCAAAATTGCTAATTTGCTGCGTTTTTTATTAATTTTTTTTCTTATTGTAACAGTTACGTGTTACAATTATTGTGTTAGCTTTATAACCGGAATGCCTTTGATAATATTGTTAGCATGTGAATATATTTTCTTGCATAATAATTTGAAGTACCACGAGACAGGATTTAAGGACTGTTTGTTGAAGATTTCTTCTTCGTGCCGAAGCCACCTCAAAAGTCTTCATTTGTAGACCATTATCAATTGTCCAATTTCCACGATTTTCCCGTACTACTCCTCGTTGAGGACTTGGTCGATATACGGACAGAAG